GTGTCCATGTGGGCAGTGTGTGTTGGCAATCGTGGAGGCCTAATACCATGTTCGGTTGGAGGGGCGGTGGGGTTGCCTTGTGGTTAAAACGTTCGCTCGTCACACCGAAGACCCGGGTTCGATTTCCCACATGGGTACAATGTGTGATGCCCATTTCTGGTGTCCCCCGTCGTGATATTGCTGGAATATTGCTAAACCCGCCGTAGAACCATACTCACTCACTCACTCACTCACTCCAAGAGATGGTGCACATTGCTAACGTATCACATGCAGTATACGGTCTGTCGCATGCAGTGTTCGCGTGGCGAACACCAAGCTTTGTCGGAACGCGCATATCCTCCTCCACCCTTGGCAAACACCTCAGGGGATAACTAAGTCACAGGTCACGTGTGTACTGGTCAGCTGTTTGACCGTTACCCTGGAGGGATCCGTGATATTGCTTGAATATTAATATTGCTAAACGCGGCGTAACACTAAACTCACTCACTCATTCAAATGCGAAGTCCCTGCTTGTCGGTTGCATTCCAACACGCCGACTTTATGAGCGGTGACGTCTCATCAGGTACATCCAATGTTAGGGTCCATAATCGGAGTTAGCGGGGATTCGAACCCAGGACCAGCGACAAAGGGACGTAACACCCTACGGTGAATTTCTTTTATGCAAATACAGCTTCATGCCAAATGTACTCTTTAAAAAAAGGAGTGGAACTTCATTTTAAAGTTACGATTGAAAAACAATAAATCGGAGCCATGCAATGCTGATTCGATAATAATGAATGTTTTGAGAGTTGATCACAACCATAGTTGATTGTACAGTAATTGCTCTTGAAAGATGATTGGTGGATGGCGTGAAATTTGCATGTGTACGATTTTCATTTTCAATAAAAAATAACCCGGCTAGAAACAACCACTAACAACTGTGTGATGCAAGATGATTGTCAAAATTAATGATCTACAGTGATTTATCGACCTTCTTGAAAACCGTCACAATCAAGAATGACACCCCATGCATGTGTTTGGGGCTACAGCGTTGTGCACGTGCATCCCACGCGTTGTATTTAGGGGTGGTGATAAAGAGAAATGGTGGTGCGTTTATAAGAGGTCTGTCTCTGAAAGGTTTCTTAACGCTTATACGTCCTATATAACCTGAAATTTCAGGTTCACCTACTTTTTGAAAGAACATACATATTTGTCAGCAAAGCTTATCAGATACACCCGTTACGCCTCGAATTTGAGCTCATTAATTTCAAAACAAGGGCACTGTGTCGGGTTTTGGAAAATATTATATAAAATGTCAGTTATAAATATATATTACATTTGTTTATAGGCAAGAAATGCCCTGACTTGACAAAAATGTTTAACATGACATATCATGGAGTCCTGAGCCTGGAATATATTTGTCTTTCTTTGTTGTTGGGAGGTCGTTGAACTTTGGGGTCAGTGGTCTACAGCTCAAGACACTGTCGACAAATATGTGACCTTTAAACAACAATGACCTGGGGGCAGTCTAGTGGTTAAAGCGTTCGCTCGTTACGCCGAAGACCCGGGTTCGATTCCACATATGGGTACAATGTGTGAAGCCCATTTCTGGTGTTCTCCGCCGTGATATTGCTGGAATATTGCTAAAAGCGGCGTTAAACTAAACTCACTCACAAACCATAACAATGACCACATGCCCCCTTTTAACATAAAACAAGTCATCCTGACATATTCGATCGTAAGATGTATGTCAAATCTATATGCTGTTTCTTTTTAAGAATATATACAGTACTCTAAGAAAGTTGAAGGACAGCAGATTCCGTCAATTCAATGCCTTTAAAAAATAAGCATTAATAGTCACCTAAAAGAGAAGGTAACCTCTAATCACTTTTTACTTATATACAGTCAAGCACCGTTGTCTCGATATTCATGGGTCCAAGAAAAAATATCGAGTTATCCGAACTTCGAGACATCCGATCACGGCATATCATCACATATCACTATGAAAAGAAACAAAACACTTCTCAGTATGTTTTGATTCGAAACTATAATCCGTTATCAGTAGTGTTTAGGGGCCAGTGTTTAGTCGTAACAGTGAGTACTTCCTAATGAAATCCTTCTTAATTAATCCTAATTAAATAACAAACAACTGACACCTTCAACTCAATTTGCCCTAATTAGTTTACACTACCGCATCCCTTTGATTCATACCGCACCGTGTGTAAACGTGTGGAAACAACCTCAGTTCAGAGGGATACTTGCCCATGAAAGGTAGGTGAATATCGAGTTTCTTTGCAAATATCGAGCTGAAAGGGTAATTTTGCTTGTTGCTCGGTGCTCGACTGTAGTAACAGTTTCTTCACAGAATTATATGGTTTATAAACTTTTGGAGAACTTTATACAGACAAGGGCTGGACTGGTGGGACAGAAAGGCAATAGATGGAGAAAGTAAAGTCGACATTGATAGAGTGAGAGTGAAAAGGGCATGCATGATAGAGGAGAGAGAGAAGAGGGAAAGAAAGGTTGACGTTTTCCTTTTCTGCGGAGGACATCAATCATACCATATAAGAAATCAGTTTGTTTTAAATGTGACAAACAAATGTCTTTACTTCTTGTCTATATAAAATGCTTCTCCTAAACGCTTCCCCTTGCCCTTCCGCTGTGGAGTTTATGTTGTCGACGATGACGTTGTAGGCGTTGGAAGCTGTTGGGGAATATTTCTCAAACTGACAACACAAGTCCGTCTCCGGGTCCACAACGTTGTGAGCTTTTTACTAGAAGCTTAGTGCTCAGTTACCAGTTTCGAACTAGCCTTTCGTGCTGGTTTACATGAATATAATAGCTAAATACAACGCTTCTGTTCCTCAAAGGGAGCGGTAGCCCAGCGGTTAAAACTTTCGCTCCTCCTACCGAAGGCACGGTTCGATTCTTCACATGAGTACAGTATGTGAAGCCCATTTCTGATTCCCCCGCCGTGATATTGCTGGGATATTACTAAAATCAGCGTAAAACCGTACTCACTCACTCACTCTGTTCCTAAAATGGAACTTCATCCATAACCCACATGCAGTGATCATCCGAATCATATCACTCACTTGACACTTAACAGAGAGCTAATCTGTCTCCCTGAATGGCATCAGTTCCGCCCAGCCCTCCCTGCATGCTAAACCCCTAAATGAAGCAAGTCTAGATTTCCTCAGGTTCAGGATCTCAATCTCACTGGCGCTCAGTTCTATTTTTAAGGAATTATTTGTTTCTATCAAAAATGTGTACATTCAGAGAATAAGCGTTAGTCACGCCGAAGGCCCGGGTTCGTTTCCCCATATATTCACAGGGCATCAAGACTCCATCCCAGACCCTTATTCTAATAACATCTCTCATAACTAAGAAGTAGAAGTAGCTTCAGGATGGCACAATAAGGAAAAGGAAATCTTCATGTCTCTATATATATAATAAATTAATTGAAATCTTCATGTCTGTCTGATTAATTGTCTGTCTGATTACCGTTGATTAACCCAGGGGCCGGTTTAGGTTAAATATCCAGGGGCCGGTTTGGGTTAAAAATCCAGGCGCCGGTTTGGGTTAAATATCCAGGGGCCGGTTTGGGTTAAATATCCGAGGGCCGGTTTGGGTTAAAAATCCAGGGGCCGGTTCGGCTTGGGTCCGGTTCGGGTTTATCCCTGGGCACAAGGTGTGAAGCCCATTTCTGGTGTCCCCCGTCGTGATATTGCTGGAATATTGCTAAACCCGGTGTAAAACCGTACCCACTCACTCACTCTAGACCACCGTATAAAGCTGCTGTCCAAGACGTCAATGAGTACGTATGGTCTCCCGGATCCCGTCACCAGGGTAACGGCCAAACAGCTGACCAATACACACGTGACCTGTGACCTCGTTACCCCCTCTGGTGTTTGCCAAGGGTGGAGGGGAATATGCGCGTTACGACCAAGCTTGGTGTTCGTCACGCGAGCACTGCATGCGGCACACCGTATAATGCATGTGATACGTAAGCAACGTGCACCATCTCTTGGAGTGGTGAATGAGTGAGTGAGTGAGTATGGTTCCACGGCGCTTTTCGCAACATTCCAGCAATATCACGGCGGGGGACACCTGAAATGGGCTTCACACCTTGTACCAATGTGGGAAATCGAACTCGGGTCTTCGGGGTGACGAGCGGACGCTTTAACCACTAGGCTACCCCACCGCACCACCATCTCTTGGGTGCTTACCTGAAATCCATGGCAACCCGAAACAGACCAGGTTAAACAGAAACGCCATATCATCAGCTGTCCCCACAAGCCACGCCAAGAAATCGTGTTTTATTTGAAAGTGCAAACGCGCCCTTAGACTTTGTCCACTTCATATGTAGATATTCAAACTTCAAATTACAATCACTCGTCGGTATCGGTGACAGCAAGATAAGACTGATTGTAGTTTTTGAAGTGGTTCGTGTTGGTACAGTATTAATCATAAACAACTTACCACGAGGTTGTAGGGTAGCAGGTGTTTAAGCATTTGTTCCTCACACAATATACCAATGTTTAAATTCCAAGGTGGTCAAAATGAGAGAAGCCTACATGTGATGGGCCAAGCGGGGTTGTGGGTTAAAAGAACTTGGTCTGCAGGCCCGCGAGAGGTGACCGGTGGTCGGCTGGACGGAGCAGAATCGGGTGGTCATGCATCGTTGGCTTGGTTGATATCATAACAAATTTACATAGATATTTGCTCATGGTGTCAATCATTAATTATGACGTGGCCTTTGTTTCACTCAGCAGTGAATGGGTACCCGGTGGGATTAGATGGTTATGTGACTGTTAACCTTCTAGCGCCTCACTGGCAGCTTAGGTTGTGTACCAATTCTTTGACGGGGATAATATAATGTTCTGTGCATGCTTTAGGGTGTGGGCGTTGCGCGTCAGAAATAGGACATTATTATGATGGGAGTTATTTTCCGCCTGGACTGTAGTGGTGTCTTTAATAGTTGGGCTGGTATTCACAAATATTTACACGTCTACAACAGTCATAATGATCGGACGTATTTTCTGTGTGTCTCTAACGCTGATTTGTGTCATCGCACGTACAGGTACGTACATGTCGAATATATGGATGCATCGAAGATATCGTGGATCCCCTTAGGCTTTCTTACTATTGCTGCTGGTACATATTTAAGCAAACGACAGAAATAAGCGATCCAAAGATGATCTTGTCTGACACAAAGTCGACTAACACACTTGTTTGGGAAATAGTCGACTAGGAGTTTGGGAAACACTTCGAGGTGCACATGGTTAAAAGACGTTTTCAGTGGCCCGTCAAGATCCGGGTTAGCATTGGTCTTCAGTAACCCTTGCTTGTCGTAAGCGGCGGCTAACAGGTGGTCAGATTCGCTGACTGTGGTTGACACATGCCATGATATCCTGATTGCGTAGATCGATGCTCATGGCTGACTGACTGAGTTTGGTTTTACGCCGCTTTTAGCAATATTCCAGCAACATCACGGCGGGGGACACCAGAAATGGGTTTCACACATTGTACCCATGTGGGGATTTGAACCCGGGTCTTCGGCGTGAGATGCTCATGATGTTTGTCTGGTCCAGGTTCGCTTATTTACAGACCGCCGCCATATAACTGGAATTTTGCGGCGTTAAACAACAAACAAACAAACAAACAAACAAACGTTTTCAGTCAACACGAAGGAGGAAGTAAAAGAATGGAAATGTCCAGATTCATCAAGTTTCTGGAAGCTTGGAATCACTGAGATGAAAATTGTGTAACCTGGCAAATCGTGATAATCCATAGCGGTCCACGTTCAACACGACGAAATAAACAGCTAGGCAGAAGTAATGTATCCTTAAGTTGCATTTGACCGTTAAAAGTATAAATGTAAGAAGATTATTAACCCAAATATCGCTAGTGTAAATGGTTTGTGTGCCATTCTTTAGAATTCGTAAACTCGACACAGCACGACAGGAGACAACAGGAGCCACTTGCACAATTGAAACTTACAATTGGTCTGGACCAATCTTAAATATCTAAGATCATTGTAGTCAGTAAAGAAACAAGACAAAACGGTGTTCAAGTCAGGGTCTGTTTCACATACCTTTACGTTCAAAAATTGCTTTTCAGTTTTGTTAACACTTTAACAACACGGAGAATGCAGCCTAGCTCTAACGACAGAAACATTATTTGTTGCAGAAAACCACATAACTATCGATCCGTCAAAACTAAGATTGTTCTGTGTAAGTGGGCCCAGAGCTGGGCTTCACACATTGTACTCATGTCTTCGGCGCGACGAGCGAACGTTCTAAACACCAGACTATCCAACCGTCCCCTTCAGCACGAGTAGAGAACTTGCGGCATACTGAACAGACCTATGAATTGTTCACCAACACTAAATCGAATAAATGCAACAAAAACAAATTTTGCACAGTCACATGAACTGGAAAGACCAACTCTGGATAATTTGTCTCATAATTTTGGACACCCGAATAAAATACTGGTTTAACAAACGATCATCATTTTTGTTGTCACTTTTTGCCAATTAAATTTACGGCGGGGTTGGGGGGGACTTACTTGCTTGTAGAACAGCCAGGTGTGCGCGTTGCACGTGTGAAATTGAAATTTCATAGGTAACTACTGCCTCCACGCTGTGCTCATGAACGTCAACTGGGCGGAAGCAAGGGTGAGTCAAACTCTTGTTTTACGGACACCCGGTGTTACGGTACCAACCCATTGAGATTTAGTTAGAATTGATCTTCAGCAACCCATGCTTGTCGTAAGAGGCGGCTAACGGGACCGGGAGGTCAGGCTCGCTGACTCGGTTGACGCACGTCATTGTGTCCCAATTGCGTAGATTGATGCTCATGCTGTTGATCATTGGATTATCTTGTCAAAACTCGATTGTCCTCACACCGCCGCCATATACCGGCAGCTGAAATATTGCTGAGTGCGGCATAAAACTAACCTCACTCACTCATTGTAATATCAGGAACCCAAGACTATCAAATGAATACACGTCATCGATCTGCGGTGTAATATAACTGTTAATGTTTGTCCACTGAGTTCACTTTGTGAGTATGGAATTACGCCATTTATTGAATAGTTAAGCAATATCACGGCGGAGGACACAAGAGATTGAAATTTCACAACACGCGATTGTTGATTAGCTGGCTGTACTACCAGCAAGTGGCCCCGCCTCATAAAAATAGCGAAAAGTGACAACAAAATAATGATCGTTTGTTGCAAAATTTGTTTTTGTTGCTCTTATTAGATTTTGTGCCAATGAGCATCTCATCGGTCTCAATTGAAATCAAACAGACTGTAGATAATGCAAAGCAACAAAACTGATGATCGTTCGATCTCTATCAGTCACTGTCCTGACGACGATCGTTTATATTTCACGATTCCCTACTTTTTCTGGTGGTGGTGACAGGACGCCCACTTAATCCAGAAACCACTGAAACAAAACATTCCTCTGCCCTGGATATACAAAAAACGTGTTGTTCATCGGGCATGACTAGATCTTACATTGAAAGAGTTGCGTAAAAATAATGTTAAAATACCAATTTAATCTTACGACAACAATATAGCCTTGCAATATGGCGAGCTTCGACGAATTCTGTTTTGCACTCTGATTTAGGCATTGCACGGTTGTCGGATCTTCTTTTACCAATGTTCGGCAGCCCTCGGATCCTTCCGTAAAGATCCGGTGTGATCTGTAAAGAGTGTCAAAGCTGAAATATTTGAAACATTACAGTTATTGAATGGAAGCTGTGTTAAATAATGTTCGGTTCTCGTAATCAGACAATGGTACTTGTATGTCATCGTAGGAGAGAAACAACAAGTGAGTGAGTGAGTTTAGTTTTACACCGCGCTCAGCAATATTCCAGCTATTCACGCGTTGAAACAATGAGTTCTTCAGTATGACGTGTATGATGTTTATGTCTTGAAACATTCATAGATACAAATCACATCAAGCCACTATCTGTACCCGATGTACCTAATATCTCCATTCCGGTGAGGTGAGGTGAGGTGAGGTGAGGTGAGGTGAGGTGAGGTGAGGTGAGGTGAATTTGGGTTTAACGTCGTGCTTGAGAATATTTCGCTCATATGACGACGTACATGCGTGTGTATGTGTATGTGCGGCTGCTTGTACTAGCCCAGACTTAAGCTGGTTTTATAGTGCTAGCCCACTGAGATACCATGCCGCAGTGAAGCATGAATACCCCACTCAGAGACATTATACTGACTCCGAGCCGACCAGTCCTTGTTGTACCCATTAATGCCGAGCGCCAGGCAGGGACCAACAATACCATATTTTAACGTCTTTTGGTATGACGCGGTCGGGGATCGAACCCGCGACCTTCCTCTCTCCGGGCGGACGCTCTAACCACTACACCACGGAGGCGGTTCTCCATTCCGTTACACGCGGACGCCGATTATCCAGATTACTACAGAATCTAGACCTCTCTGACACAAAAACTTTTTGTCGAGCCCCGAAAGAATCAATGTTATACTCTTCCAATCAAACTGGGGTGGTGAGGTATACTATAGTCTGTTTGCAGTGAAAACGTACCGGTGAATTTCACTTTAAACAAAAAAGTAAATCAAATAAAGTAAAATTAAGACTGCGAATCCTCATAATTTTACCCTGCCAATTGAACATTTAAATCTCAGAATTTTATTCATCTTAAGATAAAAGTTATTTAACAAACTATCACAGATTCTGATCGCTATTATTAGTTTGTATTACAAGGGGGTAAGCGTAGTAGTTGGAACAGTGAAACAAATGCACGTGCGGTACGTGATGAGCGTTAACTTAGACCAACCCTTCTTGTTCTCGGTGTTTCATTTAAATGTGCATACGCCCATGTAATACAAACCAATAATAGCGATTTGAAACCATGATCGTCTGTTAAACAACTTTTATCCTAAGTTGAATAATATTCTGAGATTTAAAAGTTCAATTCGCAAGGTAAAATTATGAGGTTTCGCAATCTTAATTTCAAATTATTCGATTTCCTGTTTTGTTTAAGGTGAAATTCATTGGTACCTCACTCACTCACTCTAATTTCAGATGCATGTGCTGATGGCTTTGTGGAGTCAGGTAACTACTGCCTCCACGCTGTGCTCATGAACGTCAACTGGGCGGAAGCAAGGGTGAGTCAAACTCTTGTTTTACGGACACCCGGTGTTACGGTACCAGCCCATTGAGATTTAGTTAGAATTGATCTTCAGCAACCCATGCTTGTCGTAAGAGGCGGCTAACGGGACCGGGAGGTCAGGCTCGCTCACTCGATTGACGCACGTCATTGTGTCCCAATTGCGTAGATCGATGTTAATGCTGTTGATCACTGGGTTATCTTGTCAAAACTCGATTGTCTTCACACCGCCGCCATATACCGGCAGCTGAAATATTGCTGATTGTGGCGTAAAACTAACCTCACTCACTCATTGTAATATCAGGAACCCAAGACTATCAAATGAATACACGTCATCGATCTGCGGTGTAATATAACAGTTAATGTTTGTCCACGGAGTGCACTGTGTGTGTGGATGTGTGCATATGGAATTACGCCATTTATTACCCACGTGGTCAACGTATGGGTAGTTGCATACTAATCTCGTACGTCACACGAGTGTCGTATCGCGTTGACCTGTGTCGTAACGACTTGACCTGAGATTATAACAATTTGATTGGATAACCGATGACCTCTCAATTAGGTCACATTCTGACGTAACTATTTTTTCATTCTTAACAAACACGTGAATTTATTCATTCTACAATTTAAATGCATTTTGGGAATGTAAACATTGCGAGCGTTGCCGTGTCGCTGTTTAATTGTGAGTCGAACTGAGACATTATATCCGTCGAAAAAGATAAACGCAATGTTTCCACCAGTGATGTTAGCCGAATGATGCCATTGCAAACCAAGAAACGGGGTGCTACGGAGTAGTTAACTGTAGAAGATGGTACGAGGCGATGACAACTGACATGCATCGTGACGTCGGTTGCCAAGGCAGTGACGTAATTACAAGGTGACGTCATGCAAATATTGTACTACAGTACAAAATTCTTCCGCAACCTCTTTATGAAACCGGTTTCGGTTTGAAACCAAAAAATAACAAAAATACGCTACTTTGTCAATTTAATGCATATAAGAAGTGGGTAATAAATAAAATACCACACTTGGTCTCATTACATACGAATTATACGAAACTCGTGACCTTCCTATGTTATCTGACCTCGCTTTCGCTCGGTCAGATACCATAGGAAGGACACTCGTTTCGTATAATTCGTATGTAATGAGACCTCGTGTAGTATTCTCTATTTATGGAATCGTTAAGCAATATCACGGCGGAGGACACAAGAGATTGGTTTCAGACATTGTACCAACGTTACGAACCGAACCTGGGACTTCGGCGTGACGAGCGAACGCTTAAACCACTGGACCACCGTCCCGTGAAAACCTAAAGACATGGAAGTTATCACTTTGGTGAAATCCACAGCACGGGTGACGGAACGAAGACCAATGATCTCTTCGAGATTCGAACACTAATAAACTATCAAGAGTCCCCGAGATTTGTCAAACAGAACGACTGTTTGTTATGAATTTCACCATTAGGTAAAAGGCAACTGCACTGCAGATAGTTGTTGCAAAAGAGTGAAAATCACTTTCTGAGCGTACCGTGTTTACTTTCAAATGCGAGTGGTTGTTTGTGTTACAGGTATATTGCGAAGCAATGAAAGCCAAACTAGTGACAATAGATTCAAACGACAAGGCAATATGCGTTCAACAATATATGGACACAATCAAAGGTAAGATGTATGTTTGTTATACTTTTTAGTTCCCATTCCATTCGTGAATGACGACAGCAGGTCACAAGCTCACAGAAGAGACGCTGGCGATTGCGGCAAAAACAGCATTCACTTGCATGCTTCGTTGATCGCCCTCCCATGTGCTTCGATTGTGTGTGTGCTGTAGTCCACATTTGTAATGTTGACGATATTGATTTGTGAATATCCATGTTGTTAACGTCCAGGGTACCGCTGTACAAAACAACCTTAGCGTAAATGTGATATCATCCTCGATCATTGTTAATGTCCACAACGTAAATGTGATATCATCCTCGATCATTGTTAATGTCCACAACGTAAATGTGATATCATCCTCGATCATTGTTAATGTCCATAACGTCAATGTGATATCATCCTCGATCATTGTTAATGTCCACAACGTAAATGTGATATCATCCTCGATCATTGTTAATGTCCATAACGTAAATGTGATATCATCCTCGATCATTGTTAATGTCCACAACGTAAATGTGATATCATCCTCGATGTCCACAACGTAAATGTGTTAATGTCCTCGATGCTAATTTTCTAAGTGTAAATATGTGACTGTCCTGTTTGTTAATGTCCACAACGTAAATGTGATATCGTCCTCGATCATTGTTAATGTCCAAGACGTAAATGTGTAAATGTCTTTATTGTTAACGTTCACAACATAATGTTTCAATTCAAAGTTAATGTTCACGACGTATTGTCAATGTCCACGTTACGAATGTAAATGATGTGAATCACCACGTATTAATGTTCGCCAATATGTAAATATGGCAATGTTCAAAGTGTAAATGAAAGAATGTCCACGTCTACAGTATCCACCTTTTTAATGCCAACGCTGAAAATGTTAACGTTGTGCCCGTCCACATGTCTACACAGGGTCAGGGCTAGTCTGGATAGACGGGTCGGACCTGTACTCTGAGGGTCAGTGGTCCTGGATGGACAGCCAGAAGACCTTCACCTTCACCTTCAACTGGATCCCTGGACAACCGAACAACGGTGGGGGCACTGAAAACTGCGTCCACATCAACAGGAGTTACGGCTACCAGTGGAACGACCACGACTGCAACGCGAAGCTGAACTTCCTCTGTGAAAGGCCGTAAGTGTATGAGTTGGAGTGAGTAACTTGTTTTCGAAGCAATCTTATAATTTTCACCATTCGTAACTACTCGCCTCTTTCCGTGACCTACAAGAAGACTCGTACCTGTATAGTACGCCATTGTTGCCAAGAATCGTGGCAAACCAATCAAATCGCGCGTAGTAAAATGTGAAATGAGGTCAAACAGTTTTTTTTGTGATTTTCGAGTTTCATTATTATTTCCATGGTTACAATATTGTCTTGTTACTGACATTTGTCAACGACATAAGAAACTTACCTAAAGTGTTGTATTGTAATTTGTTAGGAGTAGACATGTTTAGAAATTCTGAGTTATCTTTCCTTGGAAATGTCGCAAACATGGCCACGAGCGGGGTACGGGTCGCCATCCGGCGTGCCGAAATGACAAGAGTAGTTACGAATGATTTTTCACATATTACTCTCAGCGTCAGTTCGGAAGATACCTTCATTGGAGGTCACCGCAGGTCAACTTTCTGATCAGCCAATCATCGTTAACCATTCAAAATCCTTTAAACGAGTGAACAAAGGATTCAGAAGCATATGTTTTTATACCTCGAACGAACATAACTGTGAACATACGAATGCAAAAAATAATGTTGTGCTTTTTATATCCTGTCTTTTGAAGCGTTTAGGCATATACATCCCAAAATCATATATTTGCGCTTTTTCATGTCATTTAAAAGAGACCGGATTTTTCCGATTCGACAGTAAAGCTACAACAAAAGTGAGTGAGTGAGTGCGCTAGTTTAGTGTTACGCCGCACTCAGCAATATTCCAGCTATATGGCGGCGGTCTGTAAATAATCGAGTCTAGACCAGACAATCCGGTGATCAACAGCATGAGCATCGATCTGCGCAGTTGGGACTAAAACCAAAGACTTTGGAGAGATGAAGTCTGATTGTCTCAACGTCCATGTCTCCATCATTTTGAGAGTGAGGCTGAGGGCTGTAGTGGCCACAGTGAACATGGGGTTCAAGTGTCCCAAAGTTTGACACAGACCAATGTCATATAAGAGTAAGTTTAATGAGATTGGGTTCGACGCCTGTTTTAATCGAATTTCGGGAAAATATCTTGTGTCGTAGATTTCCACTAGTTTGTTGAAACATGTCTCCTTGTGTGGGGTGCTGACTGACCAGCTTGCCAAATTCTAAAATTCAGCAGATCCTGGTACAAAACTCGTCAAAGAGAATTTTTGTTCCCGCAACCGTTAAGATCCGGGCTAGGAGTGATCTGCAGCAAATAATGCGTGTTGCATAATTTGACAATCGGGGAAGTTTGGCTTACTGACTTGTTTAAAGGCACAATTTCACACATGTTCGACAATATTTTGGTCTGTGTCATATATATTGAGGCATATGCATTCACTTTAGCTTCCTATTGATGCAATAAAAGACTTTTATTATCCATTACGACTTGCCGGAGGTAGATAATTGAAACTTCGAGGCGAACAACTTTCAAACAGAGAACACTTGCCATATATGGAATGTAAACAATTGCTCCGTACATCGAAAACTGTCCCACGAGGTGTTTGCCGAACTGGTTTCAATCACAAGTTGCGCGTATGTTTTCGCAAAGGAGTTATAGGATATTCGTAAAGAGTGCTCCAAGTGACATAACTATATGGGGTTCGCTTGAAATAATGTTTGGGCGCGAGAGTCGATTTTAATGCAAGATTGCATAATTCATTCGAACTTTTAATTTAATATTGTAATCTAAATACGTAAATAAAAAACTATATGTTAAATCGTAGCTTCCCTGAGGGCTGATAGTTATTATTATTGAGAGACATGTATTTAAATTTGTATTTATTTATTTTAAGACAAGTGTGGTGTAACATTATGCCTTTAAACTTGGTGATTTATTATCGTACACGTTGATCGTACCTCACTCACTGGATAGTGTGGTATGAAGCTCGAATATATGTTAGTGTTGTGTTAAACAACAAATAAGCATAAACAAATTGGTCATCAAGTGTTTTATGCTTGAAGAAACTTTTATTAAAATATCGTTTGTTCTTGTCGCTATGGACCCGTGAAGGTCCGGGTTAGAATATTGGCCTTCAGTAACCCATGCTTGTCGTAAGAGACGACTAACGGGATCGGGTGGTCAGGCTCGCTGGCTTCGTTGACACATGTAATCGGTTTCTCCAATCGCGCAGATCGATGCTCATTCTGTTGATCACTTGATGGTCTGATCCAGACTCGATTATTTACAGACCGCCGCCATATAGCAGGAATATTGCTGAGTGCGGCGTAAAACTGAACTCACTCACTCTTGTCGCTATAAGGCTAAAACAATTCGGATGCAACGTTACATGGTAACTCACTCGGGATCACTCGCTCATGTAATGCTGAAATACTTACTCGATCCCGGAATGTCGACGGGGATATAATAAAACACACCGTGTATGTTGATGATGAAAACCGATGCATAAATATAGAGATATTTAATATGCGATGTTCCATTGTTTACCAATCCGGATTTCATTCATGAAATGCAAAACAAATGTTTCAAACATATTATACTCATGTAAATAAAATCATGGGCCATAGAAAGTATAGGACTGGACAAATTATTTTTTCACTGTCATTGACATGGTTATGAGAATTAGACCTGCTGGCAGTATTTGCCCCACTACTGGGAAGGGAAATACACCTCCAAAACGCAACACGTTCGAACGGTGAGAGTGATGACGTCACAAATGTAGAAAGCATGTTCCATGCCCCTAGCACATAATGCACATGCAAAGTTTCGGTATAAATGCGATGCATCGGTCCCGTCATATCACAGCTGCTGAAAACACATGAAAAGTATGCCACGACTGACGCCAGAACACAGAGAGAGGGTCATAGGGATGTCCGATATGGGAGCGACGAACTTCAGAATTGCAAGAAGATTTGGTTGTACGCCACTGACGATAGCAAGACTCCTCCAACGATTCAGACAGACAGGCCGAACACAGGACAGGCCGAGGGGGGAACGTCCACGTGTAACCAGCGCACGTGAAGATCACCATATACGCCTGATACCCCTCCGAAATCGCTTTGTTACGGGAACGTCAACGGCCGAAACAGCGTTGGGACGTCGCATCAGTCGAATGACTGTCCTCAGACGTTTGAGAGCAGGTGGAATACGTTGCTATCGACCATTCCGTGGAATGAGACTAACTCAACAACATCGACTTGACAGACTGCAAGGGCAAGACGAGTATACCGCTGGCAAGTGCGTGACTGGCGAAGGGTCCTCTTCACCGATGAAAGTCGGTTTAGTCTGCACAAAAATGACGTCCGACAGAGAGTTTACAGGCGACGTCGTGAACGTTTTGCAGCAGCATGCAATCAAGAAGTCCATGCCTATGGTTGAGGTGGTGTGATGGTATGGGGTGCCATTATTGGCGACCAAACGACACCCTTGGTCGTTATTCCGGGGAATCTCAATGCTAACGAGTACCGAAATCAAGTCTTGCAGCCTGTTGTCTTACCTGTCTTGAACAATCAACCAGCAACTCCCCATACAGCAATAGCGACGAGAAACTTTCTTAATCAGAATAACGTTAATGTTCTACCCTGGCATTCTCGATCACCAGATATGAATCCGATCGAGCATTTGTGGGATCATTTGGGAAAACAAATTTGTGGTCGTCATCACCCTCCACAGACAAGACAGGAGTTGGAAGTGGCACTGAGGGACGAATGGCAGCGACTGCCAAATGACGTCATCCAACGCTTGACGTCATCGATGCGACGACGTGCACGAGCGTGCATCGAGGCTGCTGGCGGACACACACGCTACTGACGTTGTGATCGTTCTGGAACAATCTTTTCTGTCTTTTGTGTGCGCAATTCGTCAAAGGAATATCATTGTAACGTTTGTATTTACCCCCTGACTGTTTGAATGTCAATGTCACCTTTCAGTTCTTTCAACCAGGTGATGATTTGTACACACAGCAAAGTGCAAATGAATTTGCTACAAATTACATCTATTACATAATCCAAATCTCGTGTTGTTTCTGTTTTACTGATCTTCAATATGACCTATACTTTCTTTTGCCCATGAGTTTAGTTATAAACAGAATATGTCGCTAGACACATAGATTTTTTAAGATTAGGCTATTAAGCACGAATCCACAGAGATATGATTAATATTTGTGACCCCAAAAAATAAAATAAAAACCAAAAAATAAAATTTGAATAAATGACAGAAAACGCATATTTTGACAAAATAGACTGGTGTAATTCGACGCTAGACAGCAATCTGCCATCATTTGTACATCTCAAGCTGGGTGTCATTAGGTACTAAGATTAATTTCGTCAATGATTTATAGTCTACACACAGTATATTTGAAAGTTCAGAGATGTGACAGTGGGTTGGTTATCTTTAAACAGAAAAAAATACTGTGATTAATTACTATGATCATCTTTATGGAACAATGGCACGTTTATGAAATTTCATTCAAATAATTTCATTTTACACTTTTACTCGCTTTCCTTTTGCTCCCTCTCCGATATTGTCGTATGTCACCTTAAGAATAAGGTGGGACTTTGGGGTAGCCCAGTGGTTAAAGCGTCCGCTCGTCACGCTGAAGACCCGGGTTCGAGTGTGAGTGAGTGAGTGAGTTTAGTTTTACTCCACACTCAGCAATATTCCAGCTTTCAAGTCAAAACATTGATCACATAACAGTCTCCTTTCCCGCTGACTGGGTTCCGTCCTATTGCGCAACTTAGTTCAATAACCAGTCGAGAATTTTGAGACCAACTTAATCAGTATTATTTGATACATCTAATCACTTGTATATTGCAATAGTACGCTCCTTCGAATCCTTGCAAACACGTCGTGCGGCGTGCTCTCTCGTACGTATAGCCTACTCTGACATACGAAAATCTGGAAATCGTGGAAATCTCAAAACGAGGCTCGGCCGCTAGAAAGGTTTTGCGGTCATGTACGGACTTGATATTAAATCAATCACATTGTACGTTACAAAA